ACAACTTTCGTTGGTCGGAATCCCTAACGTACCTTGAGATACTGGGTTAAAACCGACGATTGTATGTTTGATCAGTGTTTCAATGGTTTACTGCAGCGTATCTGTGATGGGTGTCACGCTTTTTCATATTTTTGTTCAACAAACATCAGTTTGAAGAGAGCCCAGACACGCAGAAACAATTGCGACCGCACATAGCAGAGGAGCGCATTTAAAACAAATTCATACAGGTCGGATCGCATCTGCCTTGGATCTGTGTTCATAGATCTTTTCAATTTTATTTTCAATTCAACAAACTCCCCTCAGTGAGATATGCTAAGTTTGACCTTGTGTGTGTGAGATTATGAATGAGAGTTTTAGCATCTGACTCTAGCAGTATCTTGTTTCGTCAATAGCTGAGTTGTTGATGTTCTTTTTCTGTCTGCCTTGTTCTGTATAAGGTTCTCTATATAGCACTTTCTTCATCATACGTTATGTGAGTTATAATTTTTCGCGAGCTAGGTGCTATGGATATGGATATGTATGAAAGTGGTACGAGAGTGATGGATATGATTCTTGGTACGCTCTATGGACTTATTACCTTGTAATGTAGAGTTATAGAGCACGCGAGTCTACGGCTGCAGTTAGTGTTTTACAGTTCTATGAAGTGTTGTATTCTTGTTCTTTCTCCTTCTCAGAGAGAAATTGAACTGAATTCAATTTTATTTGTTTATTTATTAGTTTGGTAGTCGAGATTGCCCTTGTGTGCTCGACCTTCTCAGTTGATCTCTCTGTGAGTTCTGCTCCTCCATTCAACTTACAGTACTATTGATTAGGAAGCTTTGTAACCTTTTCTTCCTTTTTTTCATTTGCTATAATGTAACTTGAAGCTTGTTCCTTGACAATTTATCTAACTTGAGCCCGCTTCTTTGATCTGCTTCTGTTGATAAATCAGGTTAAGAACTTACCTTTCAAACACTCCTTTATCGTTCTTTGAAGTTGTAGTCCGGTGTCCAACTCTGATCATTCGTAGCAGCCACGCCCATCTCGAAAATTCCTCCTA